ATATATATAAATATATATATATATAAATATATATATATATAAATATATATATATATAAATATATATATATATAAATATAAATATATATATATATATATATATATATATATATATATATATATATATATATATATATATATATATATATATATATATATATATATATATATATATATATATATATATATATATATATATAATGTTAATTTACATAAACTTTAGCTTTGATTTTCTCGGTTTAGACAAAGTTTATTTTAAAAATTACTTCGCCAATGAACTCGTATAAGATGAGTCGTTTTTTAAGCAATTTAAATCACTTGTAGTCGTGTTTTAACACATATAAAACACTCCGCTGCGCGTCGTGTTTTATATGTGATAAAACACTCCTACGCGTGCTTTAAATAGTATATATATATATATATATATATATATATATATATATATATATATATATATATATATATATATATATATACCGGGTGGCGCAAAAAAAGTTAACCTGTTTGATTTATTTTAACTTAAAAACTAAAAGAGCTATTACACCTAAACTACGTGCATTGCATTCAGTATTGTCTAACTTAAATTTTGATATACGCCCTGTGCAATTTCGTACAATATTCACCGAGAGAGCTGCGTTTAAACTTGAATAAACATTTTGGGAAGTGTCGAGAATTAGCTAAAAACGGCCTGTTAAACTAATTTGATAACCCTTACCATTTTATCGTAAATATTCGTTTCAATGAAGTGAAGTTTAAATTAAAAATGTTTATAGGATGGAGGTGCTCTTTTATTTTTGTTTAAGGTCTTTGGGAATGCATGAAAATTAATTTATGAAGCGATTTTGATTAAAAGATTTATTCTAAATATCCAATGACCCTGGGGAATCAAATTCTAATGTTCCAAGAAAGAAACGTCAAGTGTTTTTTTTATAAATACGCCTCGTTTAACGAATGACCAAAGAGTTTTGATATGTTTAGAATATGTAAGGGTAAATAATGCTCGTGAGGTTATACCGGCGGCGTTGGGCAGGTCTCTGACAACGAACGTGTACTTTCTGACTATAGTGCGTCTAAGCACAGGTTATTGCTGTATTAAATATTTGATAGGCCGTTTTTGGCTAATTCTCGACACTTTCAAAAATGTTTACTCAAGTTTAAACGCAGCTCTCTCGGTCAATATTGCACGAAAATGCACAGGGCGTATATCAAAATTTAAGTTAGACAATACTGAATACAATGCACGTAGTTTACATGTAATAGCTCTTTTAGCTTTTAAGTTAAAACAAATCAAACAGGTTAACTTTTTTTTGCGCCACCCGGTATATATATATATATATATGTATATATATATATATATATATATATATATATATATATATATATATATATATATATATATATATATATATATATATACATATACATACATACATATACATACATACATACATAC